TGAGTATATCCCCTTTCAGCTTGTTAAAATAATTTTAATCACAAGTTTGTTGTGGGGGAAGTCCAATTATGTACAGTGAACCCTTGACTTACAGACGGCTTGACTTACAGACTTTTTGAGTTACAGACTTCTCTGGCTGCAAAATTTAGATTTGACTTGCAGACTGAGATTTGACTTACAGACCAGAAAAAAACAAAAAAGGAACAAAAACGGCCTGTTACGGGATTAATCGGTTTTCAATGCACTGTAGGTCAATGGAGACTTGATCTACAGACTTTTTGACCTGCAGCCACCGTTCCAATACGGATTAATTCTGTAAGTCAAGGGTCCACTGTACTGCCTGGACTGTATTTTCCCTGCCTTCCCTGAACCTTTCTTGATCTAAGAAAAAAAGAAACAAAATATTCCCCCTCTAACGGTTGAAGGAGGAATAGCAGCTTCCCATTAATTTCTATGGACGGAAAAGAGCAGATACAGATCAAATGGTTCTCAGTGCATTCCTATGGGAAATGCAGATTTGACCTGAGAACTTTTTGACTTGAGAACCGCCTTCCAATACGGATTAAGTTCTCAAGTCAAGACCCCACTGTATCTTAAAACACCGGTAAATTTCTAAAGTAACAAGTAGGAAATTATATGGGTATTATTTGGGTATTTTTGCTAAAATGGAGAATTTAGAATATATCTAATTTTGGTTTCCACATTTTAGGTAATTTTTAAAAATATATATATCAGCCTCAGTCCTCTACCCTTCTTTTGTTTCTGCAAATCAATGTCATATATCAGGATTTCCAAATTTATGTGTTTGTTTCTGAGCAAATAAGCAAGCATAAAAACTACAAACTGTGGCCTACCAAATTTCATTTTGGAATTTCCTGCTCAGATAGGAGTTCCCCAATACAGTCTGCTGATTTTGCACCTTCCTTATCTGGAGAGCAGTATTCCACTGATATTATTCTATGGATTTAATTGCATGTTTTCATGATTTATATGCAAGAGTTCAAGGGAGATAAATCAATCTCACACTGGCAGTCACTTTTTATGGTAGCCAACAACCTGCACTGTATATTTGTTAAATTTGAAAATACTGCAAACTTTTTCCCCTCTGTTTTTTAATACCTTAATTGTACACCACAATGTTCTACAAAATTAAAAACTACAGGTACAAGGTTAAACAGGAACAAAAATAATGTTAACAAGGGAAGAGTGGCGTAAGAGGAAAGACAGTTGTGAAAAGCTGTGTCACCAGATAAGATCGGAGAAACAGATGGGAAGCCAACAAAGCAGAAAAGGAAGGGATGCTGTTCTGCTCAGTAGGAATTGAATAGGAGGCGTTTTTCATTCAACAGTAGAATAGGGTATTAGGAAGAATCTGGAGATGGATAATCAAGGAGAGAAACAGGTAAATAACAGACAAAGCAGAAACAGCACTGCGTTAAGTCATTAGATAGCTAAAACTTTTCAGCAGAACTGTGGTCCCTATGGGTGTTTTCAGATGGTATGTTTTACAGTCTAGTAGCTCTTCCACATTAGTTCTGTACGTTATTATGCTCTATTTTTAGCAGCTGCCACTAGCGTAGCCTGCAAATTGGCAAAGCAACTGGTGCCATTGAATTCTAGAAAGTATACCAAAAAACCACAAGAATGGATGAAAAATAATTGTCTGAAACATGTGTATGCTGTGTGTGGTTTCTGTTCTCCTTAATGCTTTTTTTTAAAAAACACCTAGAGATTTAAGATGAAAATAAAAGTAAGGTAGAACAAGTAATAAGGGAGGGAACAGTAATTATTTGTAATTTAAAGCCCTTATAACATTGTGAGATACATTTAAAATAATTAATAGATTAGGTTGTGATTTTCAGTATGATTTTTTAAAAATTGCATTCCTCTATTTCCATAAAATTCTTCACGTATCTAGGAATAATGTTGGTTAGGTAAATGTGGAAGATTTAAGCTTGAGTAGGGAAAATGGCAAAGCATTAGGGTTGGTTACAGACCTGATGATGATGATGCACTCTCAAGTAAGTTCTGATTTATGTCAAACCTTTTCAGGGTTTTCTAGGTAGACTCTGAAGTCATTTACCATTCTGTTGGGGGCATCCTGGGACTGTGCAAGTTTCCCAAGGCCACACACCCTGGCTCTTCTGTGATGCATAGTGGAGAATTGAACTCCCAGCCTCTGGCTCTGTGACCAAATACTGTGGTGCCTCGCTAGACAATGATAATCTGTTCCACTGAAATCACTGTTTAGTGAAATCATTGTCTAGCGAAAAGCATTTCCCCATTGGAATGCATTGAAACCTGTTTAATGTGTTCCAATGGGGAAGAATTGTCGTCTAGTGAAGATTGGCCATAGGAAAGCCGCTTTGTGAACCGCCGATCAGCTGTTTAAATCGCTGTCTTGCGAAGCTTAGGTCCCGAAAACACCTGTTTTGCGAGCGCGGAGGAAGCTGTCAAAATCGCCGTCTAGCGAAAATCAGTTTGCGAAACAGGGACCAAACATTGTCCAGCGAAATTCGCCCATAGGAATCACTGTTTTGCGAATTGCTATAGCGATCGCAAAAAGTCAGTGTCTACCGAAAAAACTGTCATGCGGGGTTACTGTCTAGTGAGCCACCACTGTACATAACTCACTGAGCCAGCCAGCTATAGAACTTTAGGAGCCAAAAATGACACTGGTGGACCTGCTGGAATATATACTTTGTGAAATATGTCTAAGTGTATAAACAGATGGATGAAAAGATTTATTTGTATTGAAGAGACTGTGTTGATAACTGCTGAAGTTACCAGTTGTAGGAAATAATTGTGGAAAAACTTTCTTTAGTTCTCAGTTGTTATCTTATATCTCAGCAATCGCCCTATGAAAGAACATGGACCCCACTGTAATGGAGGTGGGGGCAAGGCAAAGCCAATTAAGTAGTTTAATTTTTAATTAAAAATTAACTTCTAAGAAGAATATTTATGTTCTCAAGCTTTCTATTACTGTCCTATTTATAGTTACATTTAAATTTTAAGCATGTTAAAAATGATAAATGGTTATAAATTTAAACAAAAATTGCTAATAAATAATATGAATTAAAGTAAAATAGACATAGCTTGCAGAGGTTGAGAGGCTTTGATGGGTATGTGCAGAGTGATCCAATATCAAACATACTCTGGCCATAGTGGGTTTGGAATGGGCAGAAACCTTTTGTGCTGTTACAGCTGGTATTGGCTTGGCACATCTGCCCGGGGTTACACCAGGACCAAACCCCTTGCAAGCCCATAGACACTGAGCTGGCACAAAGTTAGGCCAGAGTGATGAGTAATCCTAAATAATTCCTAACATCCATCAGCTGAGAGGACTTTGGATACAACAGAATCTTAGCTGGTCTGGTGTCAGCTCAGATAGACCTCAGCCGTCTTAGCTAGTTAGCCCTCATTAGATGTATGTCAGCTGAAGGTATGTTTCTGCATTTTTTGTTTTTCTGTTTTTTGTTTCCCTAAATGTAGGAAGTCTCTTAACCCTCGGTGCCTACTTGAAGACTCATGTGGCACAATTCTTCTGCTTAGTGTTCTAGCTAGATATGCTTGGCCTTCAAATTCTGGCACCTCCACATTCTTACATACCGTTGGACTGCTATTTTGGAAAGTTACTTTTCTGGCAATGTTTCAGTTTAAAATGCCTGGTCTTTGTTACAAAGAAGAGTCTGGAGAAGTTGAGAGGCTATGGAGCTATTTAGCTTGGTTATTTTGCATTAACAGAGAGGAGTCACACTAACCCTTTCAAGACAGTCATTGCCTGTATGGAATAAAATTTTAAGCAGATGCTTCCTTGCATAAGTAGATACAGCGCAGTATATATGCTGTTTCTAATATTGCTGGCTTTTTGTAGCTCTGATAGTGTGATTTCTTAGATTTGCAACTTCTTATAGTATTGTGTGAAATTTCTTGGTATTGTTCCCAAAACCCCAATGACCACAGGGCCCAGTGAAGTGTTTCATCCACAAGCGAAATGTTTCGATTGCCAGGTCTCTATGCTTTGTTAGTTTTCCCAGTTCTTTATTTTCAGCTCTGGCATCTCCTGGAATTGCAATGATCCAGACATTTCTTTGTTTTATTACTATGTCTAGTGTGTTATGTTCAAGGTCTCTATCCGTTTGTATCTGGCACAAGATCTTGACTTCCTCCTTAAGTGTTTCATCCACAAGCGAAATGTTTCGATTGCCAGGTCTCTATGCTTTGTTAGTTTTCCCAGTTCTTTATTTTCAGCTCTGGCATCTCCTGGAATTGCAATGATCCAGACATTTCTTTGTTTTATTACTATGTCTAGTGTGTTATGTTCAAGGTCTCTATCAGTTTGGATCTGGCACAAGATCTTGACTTCCTCCTTTTCTGATACCTTCTCTACCTGATGTTCCCATGGGCTTTTGTAGGCTAGCCAGTCATAGTTTTTGCATAATTACCAGTGCACTAATTTTGCCACTCTATCATGTCTAACTTTGTAATCTGTTTCTGCAATCTTTTGACATTTACAGATGAGGTGACACAGTTTCATCTTTTTCTTGGCAGAGTTGAAATTTGCTGTTAACAGTAATTCCTTGGATCTTAACTTTCATCATGTTGGTTTGGAGTGCTTGTTGTTGTGCAGCAAAATCAAGCCTTTAGTTTCTTTCCTAAGGGTCCCCAGTTTTAGCCATGACCATGCTGGATTATGATCATGG